ATATATATATATATATATATACACACACACACACACACACACATATATATATATATATATATATATTATTCATACCTTTGGTGTATAGGACGCAAGCAGATTTTGACATCAAATTTTGGGGTAAAAAAGTGCACCTTATATACCGAAAAATACGGTAATTACAATTGCATACTATATGGTACTTCCAAATGGAATAATAATGGGTATTATTCAAATGCTGTTTAATGAAAGTTACAGTGTGCAATTATTTGGTTCAAATTTGTAACAGAAACTTTAAATGTTAAACATAATACCAATATTTGGCTTAAAAATTGCTTAGACTAGAAACTTTGAAGTTGTTAGAACAAATATCCAGTCATGAATTGCAGGGGAAAACATCCTGTTAAAAAATAGTTTTGTGACATATGACTAGAATAAATTTTACATGTATTTTTTTTGTTGTTGTTATTTGATAAGTGTAATTTGATAGGGGAGTCATAGAGATATAATGTGAAATGAGTTTTGTCATCATGATGTTGATAGAAAATAAAATGACAAACAATGAATTGCATTAGAAATATATATACCACCTTTGAGAAGGAAATATAACAAGTTTAGTATCACATTTTAGTAGACTTATTTGTAAAACAACACAATTGACATAGTGTTAGGAATTTAAGGCAGAATATTACGTCGTTTTTTAATTTAAACAAAAGAACTTTCTCTTACACAAAGTAAAAACAATCAAAGGTGGATTGAATTTGGAAAGAACACTTAATGGTCTTTTAGATTTAGTTATTTTAATTCAATAATTTTAATTTTAAAGCCCTAATCTTAAAGGGAAAATGCACGTAAGGATTTTATAATCACTTTTAAGATTCAGAAATATTTTAATTGACTGTATTGTTTAAGTTTCATTTGTATCTTACTTTATATAACAATCCAATCTTTTTTTCTAAAAATTACAGAACTTTTATTATAATACGCTCATGTGAATTTTTTTCTCAAAAATGCCTTTGATTTTTCACACTGAATAAAAAAAAAGATTGTTCTTCAATTTTTTAAGTGTTTAAAATTTGAAAACCCTTGTTTGTTTAGGCATTTTAGGAGTAAACTTTCTCAGATTATTATACTTGCAAAGATGTAAGCATGCAGTTATTTGTAAATTTAATGGTTGATTTTTGTTTAATCAGCTGTACAAAGGTACACCATTGCAGATATGTAAAATTAACTTGTGTTGCATACATTTATTTTCATATGAAATACTGAGAACATAATGATAAACTTTGTAGTGTTTGAATCTCTTATGCAAAATGCTTTCCAAATTTTGATGTTTTAGACAAAGAGCTGATGGCTGAAAAAGAAAGGCAAGAAATTGAACTCCAGGCCCAAAGAGCAACTTTACAAGAACAAAGGAATCATATAGACATCCTAGATAATGCTTTAACAAATGCCCAAGCTAATGTTATGAAATTGGAAGAGGAGGTTAGTAATTTATGATTTATGCTCTAATTTGATTTAAAAAACTGAAATTCTGTTGTTCTTAGTTTTGAATTTTCAGACTTGGTAATACTTACCACCAAAAAACACAGCACAATGTTAAGGGAAAAAATGACCATGTATTGATATATTATGGTATAATAACTAGTTATTTTTACTGACACACATCTCCAAATTTTGGAGATCATAGCCAAAACATTTATCAATTTAATATGTTTATGGTTGTGTCTTTCCTCAAAATATCAATTACTATATTTCACTTTTTATTTCATTTTTTTTTTTAGCTTTGAAATGAGTTTAGCACCAACTTGTTATATTATTCTACAATATTTTATTCTAAAGTTGTAGAATCTTGCACGTGTATCTTTTTTTTTTTTGTAATCCACATACCAGTGTTTAGGATTTTTACTATTAAAATGTGAAGTTATTTTCTAACTTCTTTACTGGGCATGTACTTGAAAGTATGCAATGATAGAACAGAATTATTTTAATTTTTATTGAATGTGTATATGTACTGAGACAGGTGTTATATGATTAAAATGTTTGAAAATTTATGGTTTCATAATATTAAAGTAGTGGACCTCAAAGTATTCATAGTTTTATTTAATGTTATTTATTAAATTAGCAGTTACTATTTTTCTGAATTAAACACACATAGACTACTGTGTGTTTAATTGTACCTTATAATTACTGTGAGCATCTTAAAAAGCCTTTTCCTTGTATTTTTGTTATTACCTTTAACATAAGCTATTATTTTTAAATTCATAATGCTAGAAAAATATGTAGGTTCAAGAAGTCTTTGTAGAAATAAATAAAAACTCTATAACCCAAGAGCTTTCAAAAGGTTCACCTTTCGAAAACTCTCAGGTTATAGGGTTTTTATGCATTTATAATTTTTAAAATATAGTAGTAAGAAACATGATTCCCTAAAATCTTGTTGTTGAAAAATGTATTCTGAAAGTGTTGTGATTGCTTGCAAATTTAGAAGACTAGTTTTTTTCATCAGTGTTTATTCTAAAACAATTACAAAAGCTATAGCTTAGTTAAATTGTTAATAAATTTCTTGTAATATTAGTGTCGCAAAAAACAAGTATATGTGGAAAGAGCAGCACAGCTGCAGAAAGCCCTAGCTAACTTGCAGGTTGCAAGTGATCGTCGACTGCAGATGGAGAAGAAAGTCAGAGAACAGCTGGAAGAACAAATTACATGCCTTAAACATAAGGTAAATTTTTTATATCATAATCTTTTTTAGATAAACATTTATATTGTAATTGCCAATGTAAGTTTTGGAATTTTTGAAACATAAGGTTTTCAAGATATAAACAAGTAGAAGCTGAATTTAGGATTTTTTGCTGCTGACCATAGTAAAGTTACACAAACGTTTTGGTTTAGATGTATAATCCTTTACTCCCCACTAATAATCTAAAATACTTTGTATTTGTATGACATAGTGTTACGGTCAGTTATCCATTATTTTAGTTATTTGTATAATGTGACATATCACTACAGTTAATTCTTTAAATCTATAATTTTATGCTTGTTCTGGCAGAATTATTTTCATGATGTTCTAATAATTATCACCATACTGTATAAAGTGTCAATTTTCTTAATTTTGTTTTTCCCTTCAGCATCAGAGATACCCACATGAAGCATTGTTGAGTAAATAGCCTCAAACCTCTCGCTGTTGACCATTTGGTGATAGAAGGGTGTGTAGAGAGACTGTTGGGGGTGGCAAAGTTTTCTTGAATGCTAGGTTGTTTGTCGATGCTCATTGATGTTGTCATTGCAAGAAACTTCAGTAGGCTTATAGTGGGTAAAATGAGTCCAGTTTTGTCTCTGGGCAGACATTTTCTTTGCAACTTGTGCTTTGGCATACTCGTTGATAACGATGATGAGAACATTACTTACATCTTCTGTAAACAGAGCTCTGAAACAGTCAAGGGCCTTTGAGTTATTGATGTCAATGTGTACATCAGGATCACACCTGTTCTTTGGCAAAAACTCAGTCATTACTTGTAGTTGACCTATCTTACACATCTAGTTCAGCCCAATCATTATTCTCTTGCTCTGGATGTAGATCTAGGAGATGGATCAGTTCTACCTGGGGATTGCTTTCGTGATCTCTTTGTACTACTAGGTCCTAGTTGGGGTGATGCCTCCTTCTGATCAGGTGATTGAGAACCACTAGAACTGGGTCTCAATGGTTGTTCCGAGTTGCTTTTGTCATTAAAATCTCTTTCAAAGTCAAATTCGAGATCAGAATCACCATCATTATCACTCCCTCCTTCATCTAACTGATTGAACAGACTAATTGCTTGCTCAGCAGTAAAACATTTCAGTTCATTTCTTATTTATAATTGATTTGTTAATCCTGGAACATGAGGTAGACTTGGTTTTTCTTTTTTCCTGTGTGGCAGCATAACAAAGAATCATGTCATATAAAAACCCCAAAAATATTAGCATTTTATACATATGTTTACAGAGCTTTAAAAATGTGTTTAAGACAGGAAGATTTAAATAACGAATTGTTATTAATTAAGTATATACCTATTGATAGAAGATTTGAACCAAATATAGTAGACAAAACATTTAAGAAATTTAACAAAAATGCAAATTCAGTTAAAAATACCACATTAAAATCTGTTTATGAAAAAAAGAAACAAGATAGAATGTGAATGTGGTAGTGTTTATATTGGACAAACTAAAAGAAATTTAAAATATAGATTGCAAAAACACAAATGTTACATAAGCAATAATAAAATAGAAATTTCAGCTATAGTCGAACATGTAAAAACTACTCAATATACAATATTATGGGAAAAAAACTTTAGTTTTAGCTCAGCCTCGAAGTTTCATATCATTAAATATTAGAGAAACATTAGAAACAATGAAATATAAAAGCAATTATTAAATAGAAACAAAGGACCAGCAAGTCAATATGCTGATATATGGCGAGATACATTATAATTCTTTTATTACACCAAGGAAATATGCAAATAACAATGAAGTAATGTGACAAGGGGAAAGTATAAAATAGTCTTGTAAGTTACTCCTGAAGATGACGTAGATCACGTCGAAACATGTACTTGTAGAGTGATATTTCTGTTTTAAAGTGGAAGCCGTATGGCTTCAATAAAGTTTTATTGTGTATATACAAAATGTTCTTTTTAATTATTTATTATAATTTAAAACATTTTAAACACAAGTGTCAGTAGTGCATATTTATATATTTGCTAATTTTGTTTTATTCACCAAAATGTGAATTTCAGTGAAAAGATGAAATCCAGGGTATAATTAAGAAAAAATTAACAAATAAACACACATAATTTAACTTTAATATTTAGAATACAGAGAAAAAGGTTTACTACTGGATTGTCTGTAAAATTTCATTTTTTCAATAGCTTCAGTAAAATTTACATTTACTTGTAGTAAGCAATCATGTTTTTCTGAAAGAAAGTTTGAAAAAAATTCATTTTATATAACAGGATGGAAAAACAACCCCTCAATCAAATGGAAGTAATGTTGAATTAGAGGATCTGAAAAAAATTGTTACAGAGTACGAAGAAAAGATTATAAAGCTGGAATCAGAAGTTAATGAGGTTAGTGTGAAACTTAGTAATTTAAAATCATTTATAAAACAATTATGTATACTAATCATGTCTGTATGATTTGAAACTCATTTTAACAGACAATTACATTATAAAAATAAATTTTTCTGTGATATTTTGATTCCTAAACATTAAATTTCATTGCATTTGAGCATTAATGAATAATGAATTCATTTATCTAGATTAATGTGATCTTACAGCAAAATATAATGTCTGAATGAAGTAAAATCTTGAAATTGATATGTAATTAACACATTTTTGTCTTTGAAGAATATGATACTGAACTATTTGAAGTTTTAGTTAATAAAAAAATTAGAATTTAATAACTGTTTCTGAATATCTAATTAAAATCCTAATATCTGTGTGGTTGTAGAATGGTTTATTAAGAATGTATTATTTTTTTGTTTTCAGTGGCAACAGCGATACCTAGAAGAATCCACAATGCGACAAATTGCTGTAGATGCAGCTTCATTACCAAAGTAAGTATTTCAGCATGTTCTTATAAATATTTTATTTAGATGAAACTGAAGTTGATGTGATATTTAATTTTTATTAAAGGACTTTATTTCTGATTTTTTATATTCAGGTTATCTGTAGCTTGCCTTAAAATTGTGTGCTAATTATCTTCCATTATACAAAAAAATAGTATAATAATTTTGAAATATCAAATAATAATTTAAAAGTGAAATGTAATTATATTTTCCTATGCAACAGTATAACAATTTGACATTTAAACATACTATCAAAAACAATATCATTGTACCAATTTAAAATTACCATAAAAACATTTCTGCTTATGTTAATTCTTGATATGCTTATCAAATATAAACTGTTAGCCTTCTTGCTACAGGCCTAATGGATTAGACCATTCTTGTGACCCCAAAGTGACCTTCAGTTTATAGACTATAACTTTTAATATGTTTCGTGTATCTTCGTGAAATTTTGCAAGCTTTTAGTAAACATTACAGGTCTTTTGTACACAAAAAATAAGGTTTTTATTAATTAAGTATTTTTATCAAAAATTTATCTGTGAATATATTGAGTCAGTGTTGACGCTTCCAAGTACAAAGTGATATTCATGTTAAGATTAAAAATACATTTGTTCACCTGAAAATTGTCAAATTTCATTTGTGTAATCTCTAAAACCTCCCAAATAAATCACTTTTTTTTCACTAAAACTAAATTTTATCTGATATTTTCTCTACCTTAACTCTGTACATATTTGGCCAATTTGACCGACCTCATAACCACCATATATAAATTACCCCCTTTTTTTTCTAGAATAACTGCAAATTGTAACATAAAACTACAGTAGTTTATCTTAAATAGCTTAAAGCTTATTATAGCATATATCTGTTTATACTTGAATATTATTGTTTTATTGCACTTTCACTCATGTCTAACTAATTATCCCACCACACAAATCTCCGTATTGAATTACATAATAAACAGGCTGCTAGCGAGCGAGCATACACTCGTGAAGAAGTATTATTATTTTTCTGTCACTATTTGACCTAATCTAATGTTATCTACCCTAATAAATTTCAAATTTTTACATTTTAGTTACTTTTATAATAATAAATAAAGAATATATGTAAAAAACAAGAAACATGGTACTTACCTGTGTCCTCTTGTTTTTCTGCTGTTCACTGTCAATGAAAGTTTTATACTAATGGTACTGGTATACTAAATAATTTTCATTTAATTGAGTAATGAATCCAAGGACACAAAATATTAATACACAAAACAAACAGTCCTGTAACTATCATAATTTGTTTGGCTTTCTAACTATTTGATATGAGCCTTTAAAAATTTAGCTAAGTTTGTCCATATGAATACTGCAAGAGAAATTTTCAAACTGGAAGCAAAAGTGATAATACTCTGTTCCGAAAACAATGTAATATAGTATAAAATGTCAGAGATTTATTGCCACTATGTGAAAAATAGTGTGCATGGCAAGTGGGTCTGATTTTGTACTTTATTACTCTGTAAACAAATAAGATTGAAGGCTATAAAAATTATGCTTTGCTTTCACAATATCTATATCATAATGAGTAGCTTACATTATATTCTGTATTTCTCAGAAGGGTGGTAAATAAATTAGAAAAAAGGGAAACCTAGAAACAAATGTCACAATTCTCATACTAAGGAAGATGAATTTTTAAATATTTTCTTATAAAATTAAGAATTTAAAACTTGCATAATATGAATAATGCCAAGTTTAAGCATATTTTTGACATATTAGAATACAGGTTAAGTGCTTTTTTTTCTTTCTTGGTTTTGCATACTGCTTACTGTATGTTATTTTTCTAAAACACAATACATAATGGGTTTATACTAACTAAAATTGTTAAGCTTGTCTCTATGGTTACATGAAACTTTTTTAGATTGACCACGTAATAGTCTATTGTAACTTTGTTTTTCATGCTAGATATGAGAAACATTTATTTTTGCTTTTTTTGACTTTCTCGTTTATTTTATGCTACTGCTAATTATAAGTAATATTAAAAAGTTTAGAAGCTTGAAATCTGAGTATACATTTTTCAAATGTAGTTCTTAGAAATCCACATAGTTGTCTAAATAAAGTACTGTGTTTGAAATTCATTAGTGTTTTTTGCCTTTGACCTTAAAGAATACTGCTAGGCTTTAAAGTGATATAAAAGAGGTGTACATTTGAAGACCTATAGTTTTTACTTGTTCTTCTGAATCTCTATGACTTTAATTTTATTGGTGGTTTCTCTTAACATTATGTGATAGTGTACTTTAAGAGAACTGGTAATTGATAATCATAAACAGAAAATATTCATCATAATGTTTAGATAAAGGGAAATAAATATATATGGTAGAAAAAAAGACCCCCAGGCTTGCATGAAGGTTGTTCAATTGGTAAAATGATTCTTAAGAGATGTATATCAGCATGGTAGTTAGCTGAAAAGGATCAGATTTTATATATATTTTGGTGCAATTTTTCATGTGTATGCTAGACATTTCATTAACTTTACATAATGTGATGATATTTATATTGTATTTTTTTTCTTATAAGATTTCACTTTATTTGCTATTTTTTGCTTATCCCTCCCACAGAGATGCAAAAATAGCAGCCCTTGAGAGGACCTCTCAAGAGAGTGAGAAGTTGATTGCTCTAGTCAGGACAGAAAAACTTAAGCAGATGGATGAGTTGTATGCTGCACATAGGAAGACTGCAGAGTTGGAGGGAAGGTAAATAGTAATAGTAGGAAATACTGAATTAATTTCATTTATAGTTTACCTGTATTCCATTTCAGAAGTATAAAGCCTGATTAATTTCTGGAGAGACTTGTGACAAATCTATATATGCAATTTCTACAGGTGGTTTCTTTGTTTTTTGCTGATACAATAATGGAAATAATTATGGAAAGACGCAAGCAGTACACATACAGGAGGCACAAACAATGATTAATGTGAAGTGAATGGTGAGTTTATTAATGGTACAAAACAATATCACCAAAAATGCAGAAGGAAAGCAAAAAAGCTGTACAATGTACTAGTATTTTGTATGTGAGCCATTCCCTTTACAAAAACCATTACATGTTGTTTTATTGTGGAATATTTTTCCAAATGTCCTGTATTACTCGTCACAATTCATCTATGTTGTTTGGTCAAATTTTGAGCTTATCAGTTTTTACATAAGTCCATTTAGCCTCAAGAATGCTTGTATGTTCCATCAGTCTATCTACCATCAAGATATTCACCACATTTTCTTTATGCTTGGAATTGCTGTCCTTCTGGAAGATGAATCCCTGCCATGTGAGTCATATTCCTGAGGGAATGATATTATGGATCAGAAATCTGTCTTTTCTTGTCAACAGTCAGTGCTTTTAGTTCTTTGTAGAACACCAACTTTTACTGATCCCTTACTGTAAATGTAGGACATTGAATATGATTCTGTTCTCCTTCCCTACCATCAAATAAGCTGTGTTGCTAATGTGAACTTGGTTTAGTCTATAAAAAGCATGTCTCCTATTTTGCTCCTTCTGTTGTTTTTGGTTTACTGCCCATTCCATTATATATATTTACAGCACGGCCATTGACAACATCTTTACTCATCCATTGTCAGTCTTACAAAGAACACACTGAGATATCCATCATCATATTTGGAGAGTTTATTTTGGGTTTTTTTACCTGTACCATTTCCATTATTAACAATGCAGTTATTTGTATCTTTTTCAGAGTCTGCATGATGTATTTTTCATCAGCCATAACTTTGATTTTTATTTGCTTGTTGTGTAGTATTTCAGTCCTAAGAGTCATGATTGGATTGTCTTCTATCTGAACAGTAGTTCTAAGTTAGAAATGGCTGTGCTTGAAACTTAGGGTTCTTTAACCTGGCTCTTTAGCCTGTGTATGATATAAGGAGCTATTCAAGTTGAACATACCAAATACTCATATTTTTATAGAAATTTATAATATATATATTTTATTAAATCGAAATATCTTTTACAATATAAATCAGTGGAATACTGCAAAAATTAGTTAAAGATTGAGCTTTATAATAAATTTGTTTCAGAATTAAAGATCTTGAGTCAAGACTAGCCGAACGAGATGCCATGATCAAAGTTCTTCAGCATCACTCTCAAGAGAAGGATGAAGTATTTCAGAATGCAGTTCTCGGTCGACCTTCCTGCCATACCCGTGCAGCCAGCACTGTTGGGCTATCTACCAATACATCGCATACAACAACAACTGTCGGTTCATCGTTAGGCAAAATCTCTTCTTCCTCTTGCATTCTTCATCGCCGAACAGGGAGCAAAGATGAACTAGGTAATAATAGTTTTTCTGGATGTTATTTTGTTTAACAGCATAGATTCCTGAGCTTCAAGTAAAAACCTAAAGTTGTAGTTTTGCAAAGGATGTATTACAAACAAAATTGTTCATATATTATGCAGAACATTTTGCCTCTATGAAAAACTTGGGACATTGTGCATACCATACATTTTTTGTTGTTGTTGTTGTCAGCCATGTTTTAGCTGAATATTATGGCAAGAGTTTTAACACTTCATCTAACTTTCCAGTTTGTTATTTCTTTCATTTCCTTAACAGTTTTCGTTAAAGTGTGGTTTGCTTGGAATGGGTGATTTTTGTGGAAAGATATCGTTGATAATATACTACATCATTATATATAGTTTGTGACATGAGACCATGTTTATTTAGCATGATTTTGGAACTTTTAGTTCAATACCTTAAATATCTTTGATTTCATTGTTAATGTTTCCTACTATCTGACAACAGTTACTTGACACTTGAGTATAAAGCTTTGAACAAGTTTTTATCTGTAAACAGTGAGTTAAATGTATAGAAAAAAAGTTAGTTATTATTTTCAGGTGCTTCTTCTGTTACGAAAGTTAAGTCTAGCGAATGTTTGACTACGTCTTCAGCAAACGGTGGTTTGCCAACTTCGAGCGACTCCGCCGATTCGAAGAAAAGTCTTGACGAACAAATGGAAGAGCTCGACTCAAGGTTATCTAACAAGGTATGAAATTTACTGATAAGTATCTTTGCAATTATTCTTATAAGATTTTAGTTTTTGATTAGAAAGTACTTAATTTTTCTTAGTTTCATAAGATTATAAAATATGGCAAAGGTTAATATTGTATATTAATAAATTATTCTAAACATTATGTTAATTTTTTTTATCCACTTAATCAGTTTTGCTGTATTGTATTAAGATTTATAACTGAAGTCATAATTGTAGATTTGTGTAATTTTGATGGTTGAATCAGAATTTTAGAAATATTTTAATCATCATAAAGTTAAACTTGTTATTTTTGGAGGAATTAAACCCACAGTTTTTATAATCTAGGAGAGTCCTTAAAAATGGATTGCTATTAGCATTCAGATAAGATGGATAACAAGAAAAATCATTGTAGGATGAATTTATAATTTTATAGTAAGTTATATGAAAATAAGCTATGGTTTTTAACTTGGCATTGAATATCTTCTGGAAAAAATTTGTTGAACTGTCATGCATTAGATTTAGATCTTTATTACCTAAGAATGTATTTTCATATTAGTTCAGTTTTTTTAAGAGTGACTTGCATTTGCTTTATTATGTTTCAGGGCTGAAAAGGGCACTATATAATTTCGAAATCCATTTTAGTTAAAGAACATTATTTCATGGAATACTTACTAGCAATTTAAAAGTATGACACATCGAAAATTACTAGATAATTCAGTGTTTCTTTATTTTTTTTTGCTAGAACCTTATTGAGTTGCAAGAGTCAGCCTTTAATATTAAGTCATCAAGAAATTAATGTCCCTTTCTTTAGATGAAAAATCCCAAACAACTTGTATATCAAAACAAAACATTTATTAAATGAAATAGTCTCCATTCTTATCAATGATGCTTTTCCATCTTACAATCAAGTTGTTAATGTCCTGATTAAAGAAATCATATGGCTTTGAAGCAAAAAACATGTTGATGTCGTATTTAACACCTTCCACATTTACATACATTTTTCCATTAAGATGGTGTTGCAGCGAACAAAAAAGATGGTAATCTGATGGTGCCATATCTGGAGA